AAAACTCTCTCTTGTCGTCTATGATAAAAATAAAAGTATTAATAACAATAATTATTACATATTTTAATCATAATTGGCTAATGTCTATAGTGCTGCGTATTTTCAAACTTATGCTATAGATAAAAAAAGGTAAAGTATATCATAAAAACGTTCGAAAAAAAATAAACAGTTGCATATTGTGCAACATTGAAATAATTCAATTCATTATTCGTTCATGGCGCTAATGCATTGTAAATGATAGATTCTCGTTGATACAGAACGCAACACATGTTTCTCGGTTCTGTAAATTTGTCAAATTATTTACAGGCAAAATCTCCATTAGTAAAATTTTACATACAAGATACATAAGATTAGAAGAAAAACAGGAAGTTACAGAGAAATCTCTTGACGTTGTAGATGTATTGCTTCTTTTATCTTCCATATCATCGCGTTGTTTTATTATACAAGGAACGCTATCGCCATGAAAAACAAAATAGTTGAGAAATGTTTTATTAGGCACATTTAACAATCTGATTGAATCGATTCTACTTTAATCTTTCAACATCTTACGATAGTATACGCGGTAAGTGTTCAACATTCTAGAGACATATCAATTTGAATGCAGTTACCTTCAACGTCAAGAATAACATGAAATATAATACTGTTTAAAAATGAAGCTATACTTCATGACAGATGTGACGAATTGTTCGATAATTGGGAAAGCAGATCAACCTGTAATGACTGATTATTTTCGTTCAGATGCACATCTTGTTAACAACAAAAATTCAAAACTAATAATATAGATTATTGTGTCTAATACCAGCTTCTTTGTACGGTTGATCAGGTCAGCTGGACCGTCTTTCTTATCTTTCGTTCTTTCCCTCTCTTTTTCTCGCTCGCAAAGCGTTACGAGGACCCGATCTAGTTCTCCATTTTGGCACTCGGGAGTATTTGAATACGTATTAGTCATCACGGATCACAGTTTCAAACTTTTTTCGACGAATCGTTAATAGCGGTACCTCCAACGCAGAGGAGACGACAAACACATGAAGATCTTTATCTTTCTTTCTCTCTTCTCTCTCACCTGACAATGATGTTCGTCGACTGGGACGGAGGAATCGCATTTAAACGAATATTTCTTGGGTATCGGATTCGGAGTCGGAGTCCCAGAAGAAGAAACAAGAGTAAAACTCCTCGGTGACCACCGCCACTTGGTGGCTACGTTCACGAGGTCGTTATGGGTTGGCGCGATTGGCGGCTAGGGCGCCTGTAGCCGACAGTCACAGCTTGAGTTCGTTCGCGATTTTGCTGGCAATATTTTTAAAACCGATTGATGTGCCGGAGATACGTTTGAACCGTACTCCGTTCAGGGAAAGTCGTGGCAATTTGCAGACCTCGATCTCCCACTGTACTTGGCTGTCCGTCGCTGCCTCACCGTGCGCGCACAGTAACAGGAATCGCTCACGCTGTTCGTACTGGCATTTATTAGCATCCAACACCTGGAAGAAGATAACGCATCTAGTCTCCCATATATAAATGTTATATCATCCGTCTCAAAGAGATAGATGTAAACAAAGGCTCGTCTCTATATTCGTAAAATATATTGCCTTCGATAACATTCGGTA